GAAGCTTCCGTGTCCCAGAAATGGCAAGTCACCCTCCTAAGTATTGATGTTTTTATCATCCAGGAAATCCATGGAGCTTTGTGTTCAGTCTTTATTGGGGGCCTATTTACATAGGCATGATTGAAGAAAATCAGCCTGTTAGGGATTCAATTGTATCCCCCCAAAATATGTGTTGGAATCCTACTCCATATACCTGTAGATGTAATCTAATGTAATGACCTCACATCTAATACAATGTAATTTAATCAGTCAGTTGATGTCCTATCAGTGTAGGGTGGATCCTAATCACTTGTGTTATATAAAGAGCAAGACAGACCCAGAGACATATACATGTATACCAGAGATAACCTTAACATGAAGAAAACAAAAATCCTCCCAACTGGACCAGTAAGAAACATCATAGTAAATCAAGAAAAGATTGAAGTTGTCAGGGATTTCATTTTACTTGGATCTACAATCAACATCCACAGAAGCAGCAGTCAAGAAATCAGACTTTGTATCAACTGGGCAAATCTGGTGCAAAACACCTCTTTAAAGTGTTAAGAAGCAAAGATGTCACTTTGAAGACTAAGGTGTAACTAACCCAAGCCATGGTATTTTTAATTACCTCATATGCATATGAAAGCTAGACAATGACTAAGACCACCAGAGAAGAGTTGCTGCCTTGAATTATGGTGTTGGCAAAAAATACTGAATAGACCATGGAGTGCCAGAAGAATGAACAAATCTGTCCTGGAAGAAGTATAGCTGGAATGCTACTTGAAAGTGAGAATGGCCAGACTTCACCTCATCTATTTTGGTCATGTTGTCAGAGTAGACCATTCCCTTGAGAAGGATATTATGCTTGGTAAAGTAGAGGGTCAGTGAAAAAGGGAATGACCCTCAACAAGAGGGATGGACACTTTGGCCGCAACCATGGGCTCAAATATAGCAAAGATTGTGAGGATGGTGCACGACCAGGCAGTGTTTGGTTCTGTTGTACACAGGGTCGCTATGAGTTGGAGCCAACTCAATAGCACTTAACAACTAGAAAAGACCTATGTCATTTGAGGATCACCAAGGATGACAATGTCTGGAGCTACCGATAAGGAAGGAACTGACATGGCAAAGACCTTTCAGCTTGCTTTCTTCCATTTCTTGCCTTTTTGGTTCTACATTTCAGATTTTTTCCACTTTATCTCCCAAATATTTGATTTTTTTTTCTTAACTGCTGGGGAGGTGTGTGAAGGAGGACTTGCGACTGGAGATGTGAGCTTACTGGAGAAGTAGCAACAGTGCTGGGTCCATTTGAAGTTATGGTCATGACTTTATAATCAAGTTTATCCTTTGTGTGATTTTCTTCAGCTATAGCCACATGCTCTGATGTAGGAAGAGAAAAGGCAGAAGGGTATTTGAGTTCATCCACGAATGGCGTTTAGGCAAATGAAGACAATAGAGGGAAGAACAATGTTACAGGTTTTACGAGAGTGCTTTGATGGTCCATAGCATCAAGATGGAGGTGAATACAGTAGGAAGAGTGCCATTCCCCAAAATTACTAGGTTCCACCAACCATTTCATTTTGCTCCCAATATTGTGGTTAATTAACTTGGGAAGAGCTCAACAAGGGTGTTGTCTCTGCTGCATTTGATGTCATCTTGAGCAGATGGGGCTGGAAGATCCAATTCCAAGGTGCCATCTTCAATCACCTGTCCAGTGTCTCAGTTTTCATAGGCCTCTCTCTTCATATGGGTCTCATGCACCAGAGCCTGTCCATGTGGCTTAGAGTTTTCCATCATGATCACAGGGCAATCATACTCCTTACATGTTGTCTGCCTTTCTAAGAGGGAGTGTTCCAAAGAAGGAAAAAGTGGATGCTGCCTGGCCAATTAAAGATTGGGTGCATAACTGATATAGTGTCACAAAGAGGTCATAGAACCCACATGATTCAAGGAGAGAAAAAAAGAAACTCCACCCCTTGATAGGAGAATGGTAAAGTCACATTGCAGAGGAGCACATGGGATGTTTCTGCAGCTGTATTTGCAAAATACAAGCTACCGCAAGAATGATAATGGCTAGTGAAAAAGTGGTGGATTGCAGTGGGAGCTCTTCCAATAAAGAACTGATCCATTTGAATTGTGGTGCTGGTGAAGAATACTGAATGTATCATGGACTGCTAGAAGAATAACAAACCTGTCTAGGAGGTAGTACAGCCAGAATGCTCCTTAGAAGTGAGAATGGCCAGACTTTGTCTCTCATACTTTGGTCTTGTTGTCAGAAGGGACCAGTCCTTGGAGGAGGATACCATGCTGGGTAGAGGGTCAATGAAAAAGACATTCAACAAGATGGACTGACAGTGGCTGCAATGATGGGATCAAGCATGCCAGTGATTCTTAGGATGGCACAGGACCAGCCATGTTTTCATTCTGTTGTACACAGGGTTCTATGAGTCAAAAACGACTTGATGACACCTAACGATAACAACAAAGTCTGTGTGGGGACAAGAACAAGGCAGCCTCTAACAACAAAAATCTTACTGATAACCTGTGTAGCAGATAATTGGTAAGTTGCATTGTCCACTGGAAACACGGAATGTTTCAAAGATTATGTGAAGATCCATATATTGCCCTAGCTATTCTCACCATTAAGGACACATATTTTGTTGAGAAAATATATCTTTCCTGGCAAGAACCAGGAAATGCTAAATAAGCAAGTCCAGAATATTCATTCCAATATTTTTTGAGTGGATATATCATCAAAAAAGCAAACAAAATATTCTTTCAAAAAGCTTAGAATCTAGTCAAAGACACAGCCACAGATATTGTCATGCTGCAAAAAAGTAATAGGTAAATACAAGAGATGAATTCCTACTAAAGAAGATGCACTTGGGCTTTAAAGTTGAAATGTAATTTTGGCAGACTGGTAAGTTTAGGAAAAAAGCAGATATGGAGATAGACACCTATCTGGTATGTTTGGGAAATACTAAAAAGTCCAGTGTGGCTAGAGTACAGAGCAGACAGAATAAAAAAGGATCATACATACAATGGCAAATTTGACTTTATTTTGTAGGTAGAAAGTAATCAAAGATTTCTAAAATAGAGGATTGCACTATAGGTCTGTGGGTGACATGGTTAGTAAGAGCTATAGTTTAGGTAAAAAGCTGACAGCAGGTCACACCACGATACAGAATTGGAAGACCAGAAATACAGTATAGGCAGTATCAGCTAAGAAGCTCCTAATTGGTCCAAGAGAGAAATATTGTTGGCCTGAACCGCAAATATAATTCAGAGGTCAACTGGGTTAGATTGAGAATATTCTGAAAAGGCAAGCCTGGAAGCTATCTTAAATACTTAATATTTATTAACTTTAAAGAAATACAACACATAAATTATTCCTGAGTAAACTGTAACTTTAAGCAAACAGAAAATGACTATGATGTACACTGCTAAAAACTGAGTTGAAACTATGATAAAGGTTCTTATTTTCATCTGTATAATTATAGGCATTAACAAAATGCAGCACGAAGACACTTAATACAGTATTAACTCTACCAAATATCTCCACATAATTTATTCAAAAATTCAGTAAATGTTTTTCCTCATGGTTACCTGATACCTGTAGCCAACTTTTTATAATTAGTTCTCACATATTCATACAATAGCAATTAATTTTATAAGGCTGAAGAAAATAAATGAAATCTGGCCAGAAATAATCACCATGCATTTATAGAACATTAGCATACTATTATTAGCTGTATAGAGTCAACTAGTGTTACTGAGCCCCTCCTATTTTCCAGGCTCAAAAACATGTTCCCTTATAGAGTTCTAAAATCCATCACTCAAGACAGGACATAGTATCTTCTATTTTATAGATGAGACTGAGAGGAATAAGCCATAAGCTATCCTTTCGTATTATATTTAATTATATTGACTGACAATTTTAAGGGAACATATCACCTATTTTTTCACATTTGTGCCATTACCACTAAGTCTTTGCTTTCATATTTATTTTTCTTAAATTCTTATGGATTTAAACGGTATTTTTATTTACATTATTACTTCTCTTTCCTACCTGTCTCCCTAAGGTCACCATCACACATCTATAATTTCTTATAAATTTCAGTAAAAATATACATAAATATACATAAATGATAATGTATAAGTATTACTCTTTCTGGAATTAAAAAATGACACAGGCACATACTTTAAAAAGCTATACTTATTAAGAAAACGATGGACTACAATTTCTAAAATATATTTACCTTCATTTTCATATTTTTGATTTACAAATAATAACTATAAATATATGATGTTAAAAAGTTCAAATGATTGTTTTAAGATGGTCAGTCATATATAAGGTACATATTCCTAAGAAATGGGCTAATGAGTGGTTCCTTACTTTAGTTCAACTGTAATAGATTTACAAAAGGACTATTCTCCTTTATATTATTATAGGTATAAAACTATAATCAAAAGGTTAAACACAGAATTCAGTAAATATTGAGGATATTCCAATACTTGGCAATATCAGGTTCTACCCAATTTCTAGTGCTATGAAGTATAGACTATCGTATATAGAAAACATGTTTTCTTAAAAGTGTTCTTATAGAAAGGGAAGGAGCTATAAACACACTACATCAGAGATCTAGTAAATGCCCTCATTTTATAGATTAGGGACTAAGGCTCAAGTTCGTAAGTAACTTGCCCAAGTTATATGCCAATGGTAAAACTCAAATTGATTCCTGAGCCTGAGTTTTGAGCTCTTCTTACCATATCACAGTGTTCTCTCACTTAATAACTTAACCATATTTATTTACATTTTAACTTTAATTTAAAAAATAACTTTTTTCCCACAGCCAAAAATTCTAATTTTCCCCCAAAATGAGTATTACAGTAACAGAATGTATAACAGTATATAACATGAAACTTATAGCTTCATTAAGATGAGAAATTTATATAGGAAAAAGTTTACATATAATTTGAATGCAAAAAACTTATATAAAAATTATAGCTTTAAAACCTCTTTATAGCATAGTAACTTCATACGTTGTGAAATGGTTTTCTATAATCTTGACATTTTCTTCAGACAGCCAGGTTTCGTGTTTTAGCTGCCTTATTAGAGCTTCCAAAGACTTCAATCTTCCTAGAGTTTGTTGCTCTTGTAGTTCAAGAAGAGTTATCTTTGAATGTAGTTTAGAAACTTTCTGCCAAAGATGTTCCTTATTTATGTCTTGTCTGCAGTAAGAATGTTCAATTTGTAAAACTTCTGTTCCATAGTCGACATCCTTATGTAAGGAGTCTTCAGTGTCTATGTCCTCCATTTCCATGGTATTTTGTTGGGCAGGTATAAAAGAATTAATTGCAGGGCTAGAATTTTCAGTGGGTACCCAAATGGCAACAACAGGTTCCTTATTTGCACTGAAGTCTTCAACTGTTTGAGTAATTGTGCTGAACAGGACTGGATTTTCCTGTGCTGACTTAATTTCCACAGAATTATCTGTGAAATTTGCATTCGCAATATGATTAGTGGTTACTTCAAATACTTCTTGGCCTTCCAAAGAGTGCTGAATATCTTCTGAATCTGAAGTTGTCAAAGTAATAGTTGTAGAATTTATATTCTCAAAAGATGTGTAAAAACCACCTATACCTGTATCTTGGTTCACTGATGTTTCCAAAGTGGATTCTGGTTTTTCAGTATCTTGCTTAATCAGATTAAGAGTTAGTATATTACTTTGTGTATTTTCTGTTTTTGGAGCTGATAGCTTCACCAAACCAGATGAATCAAGTAATTCTGCACATTTAGGCAGCACCTCTGTGTTAACTCTACTTTTCTTTGGCTCATTTGATGCAAATGGTTCTTCTGACTTGGCTTTTAAGCATACTTCATTTTCATCCTCTAATTCTGCCTTCAGAGGTTTTTTTTGGGAAGTGTCTTTTTCCTAGAAAATATTTTCAAATTCGAAGAAAAATGTTTTTCTCTTAATAATTAGTGCTGATTATTTAACTATCATTTTGAGCAATATACTGGCCAAGTAAGCTTATTCACTTAAAAAAAAAAAAAAAAAAAAGATGCTCTAAGCATGTAATTAAAATATACCTTAAAGTGCTTTTTAAATAGCATTAAGCACATTCATGAAAAAATCCTCACTCATTAATAACTTAAGTGCTATAATTTGCTTTCTTCTTTTAATCTGTGCTTCATGGCAGTTTATACTTCTTTTTTTACATTATTACTTTATTAAAACACAAATTAAAATTGTTTTCCCAACAGTTATGTTTCTCTCTCATCCCCTAACCAGATAATATGCCTAGTAATCTGCCACCCAGCTCAATATTAATTTTGCTCCCCCACACTCTGTCCACAATACCTGATTGTCTTCAGGTACAGAAAATATCGTTGGAACTGCAGTTTGTTTCAAATATCGAATACCCCATCTGATGTCGAGAGAATCAGGAGTAAAATGGTCACTACACAGGAACTGATATTTACTAGGAACCCATGAATCTCGTTTCATATTCTTTAGCCATTTTTCAAGTCTTTCTTTGTCATGCAGAGGAAATCTGAAATTGAAAAAACAAAAGAAAAACTTTATTTTTATAGTTTTGCCAGAGTCCAGACCTACACAGCTAGGTCACTGTGCCCCAGTGCCACAAAAGCAAGGCCACCACCATGACCATACAGAAGAGCATCTTCATAACTGTTTCCCTGTAGTAAGAGGACTAAGATAAAATACATGTGCTCCTACAAAGGATAAATTATAGTCACATTTTCTATGGGTTTAAGTTCTATTTTATTTTGTTGTGTAGTTTGCCCATAACTAGGAAAGAGCTCTGTATAAAGTATGAAGTTCTATTTACTCATTTTCTGTACTAATATCACATCAAATGGTTTCTTGTCTATAACTCAAAGCAGTATTTAACTTCAGACTCCTGTTTTTATAAAAACTGTTTAATATAAGAATTTCCAAAAAGTATCAACATCATAGTAAATACATACAGACAACACTGTTTGAAATAGGGAGACCTAATTTAAACAAATGGTTGTACTGACAGTAAAATAAAAGTTGAATTTTATAAAACTACCAATATTCCATTTCCTTTACTGGGATCAAGGAGCTCTGGCTGTGCAATGGTTAAAGCATTCAGTTGGTGGTGTGAACCCCCAACTGCTCTGCAGGAGAAAAATGAGAGAGTCTGCTTCCATAAAGATTTACAGCCTTGGAAACCCTATGAGGTAGTTCTATACAGCTCTGTTCTATAGGGTCTCTATGAGTTGAAATTGACTCAATGGCAGTGGGTTTGGTTTTGGGTTACTGATAATAGCCTCAACTGTACTCATATGGAATTTAGCCCAATATCTTTAGATGTCTATGGATTGGATTGGATTGGGAACTCCCAAGTTGTAAAAGAAACTCTGGTGCAAGAAAACTAAACATGTTAAAAGGGACTCATATATTATAATATGAAACAAATCAAATAGAAAAGATAGAAAAAGGTAAGATAGCTCTTTATACATTTTGTACCTATACTGACAATAACTTAGATTTAGAGTTGGCTCTAACATATTAGTGTATTTTCCAAGCAAAACTGGATAAATGGCAGTTAATCTGAGAGAAAACTTTTTCTACCAATCTATTAGGTTTAGATTAAATGGTATTAGCAATTATTGACAGAAGACTATATTTCATTTGACAATTTTCCACTAACATAGCCCAAGATATACTGCATAATTTGTTTTTAAAATAGTTTCTTACACAAAATGAACCTGCTATATATTTACCACCAGTTCTAACCATTTAGTTTGTACTTTTTGGGGACTTGATCTATCTCTAAATTTTAACAACTTTATACATGTTATGGGGGAGAAGTATGGGTACTTCGTAGAAAGTATCTTTCCTTGAAGTCCTTATATGGAAAAAAATCAGATGTTCTCTCTTTGGAAGTTCTCACCATAGAATGCTCATACATCATTTGAAAAATTTTAACCTTGTGCCTATCAACAACTTAGGTTATTTAAGTATGACAAGCTTAACCATAAAAAGTCATTTAAGGGCAAAATGAATTTTCTTTTAAGAGGCTCTAAACTCTGCTAGCCATAATTAATTTCACATCTTCACTATTATATCAAAAATGAGAATATGCCTTTACGATGGTATCTTTTTTATGTAATTTCATAAAGAGCTCTGGTGGTGTGGTAGGTAAGGCATTTGGTTGTTACCCAGAAGGTTGGCGGTTCAAACCAAGTGCTCCTTGGGAAGAAAATGAGGCAATTTACTTCCATATAGATTTATAGCCTTTGAAACCCAATGGAGGTTGCTATGAGTTGGAATCAACTCGATGGCAGTGGGTTTGGTTTGGTTTGAAAATTACATTTATTGTGCCTATATGCAAAGTTACCAAACAATTAAAGAACACATTTTGTGAATACCCATATTGGTTACTGGATTGCACTACCTCCTTTTAATTGATAAATTGTTAAGATATCTCCTGGAATTTGTTTACAGAACAATTTAGTATCTTTATGTTTGTCCAT